TGAGCTCTCACTTGGAGGTTGGTCGCGGCTCCGAAGCTAGCTGCGGCCGAAAGGCAGCTCTGGAGCTCAGGGGAAAGCGTGCCTTCAAATAGCGCTTGATTCGCTTAGGAGAAAAATACGTGATAGATCATGGTCTCAGGAGAGTGGCGTTATTGCAAAGTCCAGGCAAGCAGCCCTGACTCTTGATAAGTTCGGACGTACCGACATAGGTAAGAACTACTTGCTGTCACATATAAATAAAAGAAAATCAAAGCTTATGTCTTTGACGTGAAAGTCTTTGAGCTTAGTACTAAAGGAAGACAATATGTATTTGGAACAAGCAGAATTGCAGCTCAAAGTAAGCCTGTTTCTGACGTGTTTTACTAATGATTAAACAGGCAGAAGAAAAACCTAATGTTTACTATTCAGACTTCTGTTTGAATGCTAGCCATTCTGACTGTGAAGGGAATGGTATGGAAAGATGAAAGTTCGTTTTATAACACTTTTAAACAGATCCTAAAAATAAGTCATCTAATCTTTTGTCATGTACTTTTCTCTGTTTTCATCACATTTTCTGTTCCATTTATCTTCCCCACTGCATACCTTGTCAGTTTTCTCTTTCATGAACAGTGAGAAATCGGAAGTTGTCCTACTCGTGCAAAATTTCAGTGGCCCATGTAGTCCAGTTTGCTATTGCTGGTTCTGAACAATGCCAGGGATTTCTGGTACCTGTGAAAAAAAACCAACCCAGAAAACAGACGGATCCTAATAATGTAGCTTGTACCATTCAATAATTACAAAGGAAAGTTGCCTCTCTGTCTTAGTGCAGCTGCATTTGGTCCAACATCCAGTGACGAACAAGTTTTGGATAAGATGGAGAAGGAACAGGCAAACGCCAGCAGTTGGTTGGCTTTATTTTGTTGGCTGCATAAAGCTTATGCCACTCATGAGCATTTTGGGAGGCTCTAGTCATTGGAATTGTAGAGCTGATTGCAGTATAACAGTTGTACAAATAACGCCACTTTCTACAGTGGCATCACATTTCTTTTTTTATTCAGTTTATTGGGTCTTCTGAGTTTCTGAGAGAGTGCACTAGTAGGTTACAACTGCTTTTTACAACTGGGTTATTAAGCAGCTCTAGGCCATGTTTAACTAGCCCACTTAAGGCAGGCTTATAGTTGCATCTGCACTACAAAATAGCTGTAAGAACTACTGCAGCTCATCTTCTTCCCTCATTTTTTAATTTTTTTTTCAGTAGCATTACTTCTAAACAAGTTATTGATAAGTAATCACTGCACAGTGTCTGTACAGCACCTATTGAAATCATGGCTAGGATTTCCATGAGGCTTCGGCGATAATCAAATGAAACACACTGAGTTCATTAAGGGTTAACTATTGGTTTGGCAGGGTCAGAAAGTGGGATGGAGTTTCCTGTAATCAAACTGGCAGCAGCGGCAAGGATTTTTTTTTTTTAAATAAAGATCCTATCATAATCTTTGTAAGGAAAGAAAAGTTGAATAAATACACTACTAATTCTATGCATGTGAATTTGAGTATTTGCAATAAAAATATGGAATTTGCATTGAGTTATATGTCTTATTTAAGCTCAAAAGTCATAGGAAATCAGCTTAAGGGAAGGGTAAACTGCTGTGATGTAGGGGAACAGACCTGATTCCATTACCCCACTGTATTGAAAACATGCGGTGGGCAGTATTACATCTGGTGTAATGTCCCCGAGAACATCGCATGCGCTTGGAATTTTCTTGTACTTTGTTTACTGAAAAACTATGTCAAAAGAGAGTGTTGTCGCTAAAGGTCAAAACAAGATTGTTTGAAATCAGTTATGAATTGGGCCTCATCTGCACCACAGAGCCTCTGCCCCAAAGCTACGTCAGCATGCTTGCACTGGTAGTAAACTCCAACCTAAACAAAATAGCAGATGCAACGTGCAGTTTTACTATTTTGTTGTCACTCCTGTTGCCGCAGAACAGATGGACTTTCTGCATCCTTCTTAATAGTCTGCTTTTATGTAATGACACATGCAGCCATTTACCCAAATTAATTAAAATGATACTAGCAACAGTTGGTGATAAATTATCAAAAAGTTTTTCTGCTTTCCAGTGTGGTTAGGGCTCAGAAGAACTCTTATGAGGCCCTTCTTGTCCTGTGATCTCGCTGTGGTTTTTTGCCAGTCCCCCAGCAACGATGTTAGTGGTGGTCTCACAGATTGAGAGAAAAGGTCTAGGAGATTCCCAGATGCAGCAGCTTCCAATTCATTGCTCCTCCTAACTGCTGTATGAAGGATACGTAACAACGAGAGAATCTAGATCCAGGCCTTGAGATGTGCTTATGGCGTACCTTAAGATTTGTGAAAGTGGAAAACAGTAGAAGAAGAAAGCAGGCTTGAATCATTTCTTTTGTGCCAGAAATTTCTGGAAGTGGGGCCCCAAAAAATAAAACTTTTCTTTCTCTGAGCAGTTTCCTTGAGGATCAGTCTTAACCTTGCAGAGTTCTTTCCATTCTTCAGTAAGACCACCATGTAGATCAACATGTATATAAGAAGAAATGGATCCTTAAATACCAGACTGCTGCCTGCTCATATACTTAGTAGCGGGAAAGGGCACAAGCTGACTTCTTGCATTTCTAAGCAACTTGCTGGTTGCTTCAAAACTTCAGAGGTATGCCATAGTATGTCCACCTTATGCTTAGGAAATCTTTCCTCCTGCCTTACCAAAAAGGTTAGTCTTACCAGAATGAAAGCAAATAGATCACTTTGGAGTTACAAGCTTATGCCACATCAAATACATTTAGGATGCTGTAACAGAAAGGTTTTTTCAGGTCGTTATCCAATATTGCAGCACTTCTGAGTGCTACAGTTGTGCTCCCCATGTTTAGGATGGTATGATTTTAGTTACATCTGTCACCTGAAAGCTACTCTCACTTCACATTCTGGGCCTTATTAGCAGCTCTTTCTAATAAGCCTTCTAAGTTTTTTTCATTCCTGTTAGTGCACAGACACTGGCAGGCTGTTCTCTGGTACTTGGCTGCTTGCACGTCCCATAAAGGCACTCTGGGTTTGAGGGATTACCTGCTCATAAACACTACTGAATTGACTATGTCTGCTTGAATTGATCTTCGCAGACTAGTGCTGAATATGTATATAGACCATATGTGGTTTGCACTGCGGGTGTCATGACCCTTACACAGTTGTGCCAGTCTGAGAGGTTAAGCTGTGTAAAGGCTGATAAAAGAAGGGCAGGTGTAGAAGTGTGGTGTTCTCTAGTTAACATATGTCAGCCATGGTCTTTAACCCTATGAGCTGGACTTTTTCCAATTATGGTCATCCATTTTTCTCTTAATCACAAGATACGTCCAGAAGTTAAACTAATGAGGCAGTCTAACTTAGTTGCTGTTCCTGTAGTGTTGTGTGCTTTATAAAGAATGTCAAAGCAAACAGATATCTTTAATTTTTAATGTAATTTCTCAACTCATTTATTTGTTCACCATTTGTGTAAAAGTCAATAAAATGACTGTAACAAGATACATGAAAAATTAAGTAATATGGCACATAACATGATGAATCCGAAATATCAAAGAAGTTAGCTAGGATTGTATTTTATCTTGGTAAGATGTGAATGTATTTGTAGGTAGTCTGCCTTGATATTTCTCAGGATATCATTCTCACCTTTTACTTTGTCTTGTTCTTTTCTGTTATTTATGTTAATTACATGTAATCAGTAGCTTGGTTTTATAAGACACATTTTTGGTCTCACATAAGTTAAATAGGATCAGAATATTTACTCCTAAAACACTGAAACAAGTAATATAAAAGGCTTCACGGCTTTTTTCCACTTGTTGGTCATATATCTGACTTCGTAATATCCATAGCTAAAAAAACCAAATCTTGTCCTGAATAGGACATTTAAATTATGATTCAGGCTATGTCTGAATTGCACAAACTTTTTTTGGTGACTCTGAATTTTTTTGGTCAGAAACAGCTATCCCACATACAGAAAACAGAATCTTTGGATTTCTTGCCCACATTTTCCAAAATGATAGCAAACAGCAACTTCTGACTAAGCACTTAATTCAGATTTTTGTTAGATTCTCATATTTGTTCAGTGCTTACAGTGTTTTTCAAGTTTTTTTATTTTTTAAAAATAAATAACAACAGAGCTCCTTCGTTTCTACAAAGTTTTATCCCAGCAGTATGCCTCTCAGTTCCTGGTGAGGAAACGTCGAGCAAATTCTTTTATGGAAGAAAGTAAGAAGGGAAATCTAGAAAGAGAATGCATTGAAGAATTATGCAATAAGGAAGAAGCCAGGGAAATCTTTGAAAATAATCCTGAAACTGTAAGTATCTACGGAATATCTACGAGGTAGATAGTAGTTCTTTGCAGAGGGAAAGCTAGAAGCACATAGAATTCACACTGCCAAACTAAAAGAACCCCACCATGCAGACCAAGAATTGGTTTGAAATTCCTTTGTGTATAGAACCTGTGCAATTAATAATGAAGACTGTATAAGCAAAGAGAATAGTTGAGTAGATATTATTTTAATTTCTTGTACGGATCACCAGTTTTAGACCACAGTTGTCTGCAAGCATTTCATGTGGGGAAACTCTGTTGGCTTCAATTAAAATTTTACACAGAGGATGCATGGCAGTGCAGCCCTTTTAATGAAGGGATTGGACATACTGCTGTGAGCTTTTTTCCTGGCAGGAGAACTCTATTCCTCTGTTCATTCCCACTGCACATTATTTAGTATTAGGTAGATTTTATTCAACTTTGTACTATAAAAGGTTTATTACAAAAAATATGTGGTTAAAATGAATTCTTGGTTTGCAAACTATGTCAGTTCCATTTTCTGTCCTTGATAACATTGCATGTATTTGGATATACTGATTGTTAAGTTTAAATAGTTTCAGTAATCAATCATCAGTTGTTTTTGACAATTTCTGTTTTAGTAACACTTTTCACTTTATGTGGAATTAATTGCATATGAAATGTTCAACCTATTCCAGGTTTTTTTGTTTATTTAAGAGTGAAAAAGGGAAATAAAGGAGGCTGCTCTGCATCCAATAACAACATCGGGCAAGATCCTCCCATTTAAAGAGACAATATTCAAAGTCATTTTGACACCAATTCAGTGCAGTATCTGAATCTCTTCACTTAGTCTTGTGTTTATTAAATCATGTGCTGTCTTAGTCTAAACAATAGCGATGTAGAAAATTTGGTCTGTATTCTATGAGTCAAAGTGACATTTTCTTTTTTGCTTCTTTTGTAGTTTTAATACCAATATATTATAGCACATATTCAGTGATATATTTTGCTGTAATACTATCTACCTTAAATTTTTCTTACTATTTTTCTTTTCTTTCTGCAGGAGTATTTTTATCCCAAATATTTAAGTAAGTATGAAAAGCCTGAACAACTCTACTATATCATTCACTGGTCTTCTTACTTGGCTAATACTAGTTTAGTTATTCTGCCCATAGTGCTTGAATGATTTCTGTGCTGATTGCAATGCATAGTAGCTCCCAAGCAGTTCTGTGTGCTTAGATCCTAGCAGAGGCACTCAGAAGGTTGGTCTGTGATCAGCTGTCCTTAATATGCCCGGACAAGTTTTCTAATTCAAGCTGTGAGAACAGACTCTTTGAAGATGCCATGCATAAGCTGTTGTAATTTCAGCCTAAATGAGTGTTTTTATCATAAGCAGATTGTGTGGGTTTGCGTTTGTAGGCTGCCTTGCCTCCCATCGAGCAGAGGTTTTCAGGGTTACTGCAGTTATTCCAGATTCTCCAGCCGACCTGAGGGCTTGTGTCAATGGTAAGTGCTGCTGTTAGACACTTTATCTAATGTACTCACATCTAACAACACACACGTACATGGCTAGAAAGCAGTTCACACAGGCAGAAAAAGAGACAAATCTCCATTTAACTTTGGCAAACTCAATAATCTGGAACAGAAGGTGACAGAAAAATATTAGGTGAGATGGAGCAGTTTCAGAGCAAGTGGTACAAGTGACCGTTTTTAACTTTATAAAGCATACTGGAAAAGAAGCATAATTAAATGCAAAATAGGAGGCAGAATTCTTCCAGAAACATGGAAGTGTCCTACACCAACCCACCAATATTCCCATATATGTCCTCCATACTCTACTATGTCTTTAATAGTTATGCCTAACTCTTTGCATCTAGCAAGTCCTGTTCTGTCAGTTCAGGGAAGAGACCAGCTGGTTAATTCTCCTGTGTACCAGCCTTTGGCCCATAGTTACGCTGTAGCCCTTCATGAAGTAGGTAACGTTACCAGCTGAAAAATTCAAGGATCAGCTGGAAGACACATTGACTCCAGACACAAGAAGGTCACAAAGCATGAAACTTGTTATGTTGCTCAAATATTTTATCTTTTACGCCTATACATTCATAAGTCCAGTGTGAACTGTGGTTTTTCTAGTAAATTCACAGGAGGTAATCTGTACCATATTCCCTACTTGTCACAGTTGAAACATCTCTCTAAACCTCTTAAACCTTTACAGCCTGGTTACATCAAAGAAGCTTTCAATTAGTTTGAGTAGGGATACTTATCCTTAACCATCTGACACTGTTTTTGTCATTGAAAACTACAGAAGGCAAAAAAAATCCTTAATAATTACACTGCACATGGTTATGGATGAACATATTTTCCAGATCACCAACGTGACTGCTGTCACAAATTAAAATATATTCCCATTCGTATCACTCTTTCTCACTCTCATTAGAGGTCCTGGGAGGAAAGGATTTAGCAGAGTTGTGTGAATGTGCAGTGTCTCGGTATTATTCAGTGAAAACAACTAGTTTACTTGCTAGTCATTGTATTTCTCCATTTGGGTTCACATTATAAAATTAAATTAAATAAACTGTTACTATTGGTCAGTCATGAGGATAAAGGAGAAGTAAAGGACAGTATGCGTAAAATTCACAAGTGTTTCTAAGGCTTAAATGTTCAGCAAAAATTATGCACATTTCTGGAAAGGAGCTACTTCTGGAGAAGTGGAATTTGAAATTAAAACTATATAACTTTTTTATTTTTAAATGTGTTTTCATCGAGACAAAGATTTTGTGATACTGTTATCAAGAGATTTTTTTTTTATTTTTAAAAGTTTTGATTTTCTGAACTTATCGATGAAATTGTTTTGATATTGTCAAAATGAAAAATCCAATTTTCTAATGAGAAATAGTTAAATAATTCTAGGAATTAGTTTATAATAATATGATTTGAATCTCAAGTTGAAAAAATCAAGGAATAAAGATAACGCAAACAGGATTGAAAAATTTCATTGCTTTCATATTTGTCAAAACGACGTATTTCAGAACACAAATGAACACACATTTAAGGATACACATTTCTGGATAAACAATTACAAAAATTTGTGGCTATATTGACTTTTTAATTCCTATCTAAGAAGGAAAGAGAAAGTTTTCATAGGAATTGAAGACTCTTTTTCATACTTTTCTAATCCAAGCAGGTATCTAAGCTGCATCTTTTAAGTCTGTATCCTATAAATCTGCATACTTAATTGCTTTTGAAAATAAGCACTTAAAAAAAAATCCCTGCATTTGCATCTATCCAGCTCACCATGGCACATCTATTGGATACCAGAGCCTCTGAGTGGCAGAGGGTACAGGTACCACAATACATTTCTTGCCACCTACCCTTTCTATTGCAGGCTGAGTATATCTTCTGACATTTAGTTGTTGTCACAAGTGTTGATCAAAAAGCGTTGCTGGATAGTAGCTCAGAAGGCACCCTGAACTGGCAAAAGAGGAATACCAGGCCTGCTTTTGGAATGAATGGCTGTTACATTACTGTTCCTGCAGTGGCATCTTAATTGTTCATCTGTGGACATAACCTCTGTGTCCATCCAGTCCTATCCATCCTGTCTTGTCTTCTTCCTCTAGTGTATTTCACCATTTCTCCTTTTTTCATTCATTGGTTTCCTCAATTTTCTTGCCCTTTATAGCCTTAATTCACCTTATTCCATCTACTCATGTTTCACACTGCCAACTGAATCCATCCATCAGTTCAGACACTCACAAGCCACCGCTGCCTTTTGCTCAGAAACATTTAGTCAAGTTTGTTCCCCAGTTGCACACTCTGAGGATATCTCCACATATATCACTTATGAAATACTTTGCTCATACCAAGCTGGTACTGCACTTATTCCTGGACCTACAAAATCAATAAACGATCAAAAAAGAGAAAAAAAGATGTAGGGAGTTCTAGAACTTACATTTGGAAATTGCCATGAAGGATCCATACATAAACCCCATTCCTTTTACTTCTTCTGCACAATTTTTTCTGTCATTCTTCATCTGCAACTGGAGTCCTTTAGTCTGCAATATGAATATTACATGACATGCAGCACCTATTCTAGAGGTGCTCTGTAGTTTTGGAGCTTGGCTAGCCTCTTGGCATTTGGATTTACTTGCAACAGAATTTAATGAGAAGTAGATTTAGTCAACAAATATACTAACAGATTTTGTTAAGCTTTCTTAGTCACAGAAAGCTAATTTTTCTATGGGGGTCAGTTCTTTAGTTTTGTGAGTGAAATAAGAAACAGTTAAGAAATCCAGTGAGTCCTTAGGTACAGAATTGTAGCAAGTTTTGTACTTCAGGAACATTGCCTTTCATTCCACTTTCTTGAATCTGAACATCAAAAAATCATTTCTTTTCATTCTGCTATCTGTTCTTTTAGGACACTACTTATCTGTAAAAGCATGCCTCAGAATGACATTCCAGAGCTTTACAAGAACATATCTTTAAAGTAGAAACAACATATTTGTAATGTTCGGAGGCTTTGGTTTTTTTCTCAGTCACTTGCAAATTCTTGCTGACAGAATTAACAGCAAGATGGTTGTAGGGTACTTGATGTTATGCATCAAGCCCTTTCCTGTTTTGCGAACAGTGAAAGGTACCTGAGGAAAAGAAGAAGAAAGACTAAACTGATCCTTGAGGAAAAATAACCCCAAATAACAAGTATTTCCAATGTTTCCATCCCACAGAAATTTCAAACCAGTGTAGCCCTCTGCCATGCCATAAAGATGGATATAAGGATTGCATAGATGGACAAGCCAAATATACATGCGTCTGTAAACCAGGATGGCAAGGAGAAAAATGTGAAGAAGGTATAGCCTCTAATCTCATTACAATGTTAGTTCTCAGGACCACAATTTTAGTTCTACTATTATTGAACAGTATCAGATTTTTACGTATACCCACACAGTTGGTCAATGGATGCCGTCCCTCTGAGCAGAGATTTTTATTTTGTTTTCCTTCTAGATATAAATGAATGCGAAGACTTAAATGGAGGTTGTAGCCAACGCTGTTCTAATTTACCTGGAAGCTACCGTTGTTTATGTGAAGATGGCTACTTCATGCATTCAAATAAACGGGATTGTGGAGGTAGGAAGTGAGTCTTAAGGAGGATGTCATTACATGACAGTACGTTGCCTGTTGACTAGAGAGGAAAGAATTTAGTCCAGTAGTTCATAAATGCTCTGTCAGCAGAAGCTTGCATTGCTTCTGAGAGATGCAGTCCTGCTTCAACCTGCTGCTCATTCCACCTGCAGCCTTACACCACTGCAAGCATTTGTGCAACTGTATTGTGAACCAGATCAAGGAACTGAGGTGGGTTGAAACCAATTCAGGAAAAAGAAAACAAAAAAAGAAAACAAAAAGAAAAATAGAAGAATTAAACAGAGAAAGACTATATATTAGATTGTGGTCCCTTACTAGAACTCTGTAAAGCTTGTTTTGATCACTAACCAGTTTCACATGCCCTTTAAGCATACTGAAACAAGAATCTAGAGTGGTGCGACCACCTAACATTGTTACTGTGGAAACCCTGTCTGGTAAACACTGGCTTAGGCTGAATCACTCCTAATTAGTGATGGTGCTCTTTGGGGAGTTTGAAGTTCATCGGAGAAGAAACTATTATGAATCTGAAAATGCTCTTAATGGAGAGAAAGATTTCCCTTTTACTCACCCAGCATAATTTTTTCTGTACATGCTTGTGTCTGTTATTATTGGCCATGACCTACATGCTTCATTCCATTCCAGATAAAGACTATATATTAACATAATTAGCAATTCTTACTACATAGTTAGAAAAAAAAATACAACCTTATTCCATTTGAATGCCATATATTTTATTGATGAACTATGCCAAGAGTTTTGGATAATGTTAAATACTATGAGAGGCCAGACTTGAGGGTCATCTCCTGATGTTACTTCCTTTAGTCTATGTTTTGCTTTTTTTTTTTTTTTTTTTTGTGAATGAATAATTTCTGAAGAAATTCCAGAAGAACAGAAGATTGCTGTTTTGTCAAAAAGGGCAAGAGGATAAGCTGGTTAGAATATCTGTAATTCTTGGAAAGATACTTGAAAAAGTTGGTTAAAAAAATACTTAAAGATAAAAATACACTAATATGCCTTAGTACCTAGACTACTAGTTTGGTCATTTGATAAACTGGATTTAAGTGTTTCATTACATCCAACTTCAAAATTATACACCTAGGAATTTGGAGTACACACAGTAACTGTAGAAAACTAGGCCGAATTCAGGACAACTTTGACTTAATAAATGTTTTGGGAGTCCTAGCAAGCCAGTGGCAGAATCTGTTCTCCCTGGCAGCACCATTTCTACAACTAATATAAAACCAGAGGAAACTAGAATGATCCCTGCATATACAAGTGGAAATTAAGGTACTACCAGGGATCTAGTATTTTTCTGTCTACTAGACATTTAGTAAGATTGATACTATACGCTGCATCCAGTTGTCGCATCTGCATTTTGAAAGTGACATTGAAAAATTGGAAACAATATAAAAGATAGACACTAAAATGGTTTGAGGGATGGAGAGACAGTGAGGGACTTGAACACCTGTCAGCATAGCCAATTAAAAGACAATAGTGACATGAATTGATCATAGCACGTAAGAAACTCTGATAATCTTATCTCTTGTCTTTCTGGATGTCTTTTTCTAAGATAGGATTTTATAATGCAGTCTGGTTTAGCTTATAGGAAATGTGCAGACTGTTTCTTTCTCTGCCTTCCTGGACACGCATCCCTTTTCCTGTTATCCACAGAACACATGAGAGAATGAGGAAGGTAAGCAGGCAGAAAATTTATTTTTCACTGAAGGCATGCAGAAGTGCCTTTTAGACACCTCTGGAAGTCTTTGTGGCTATAGGTATAGTCTGCTATGAAAGCATGGTGAGCTTAGCAGGAAAGAGACAGTTTGCCAGCCTTACTCAGTTTGCACAGTTTTGGATAGGGTTGGGAAAAAATGGTGACTTATTAATAACTTGTTTGTATTTCTAGATATAAATGAATGTGTGTTGCATCCAAACATCTGTGGGACAGCCATCTGTAAGAACTCCCTGGGGAAGTACGAATGTGAATGTGCAGAAGGCTACATCTATAATTCAACTTCCAAGAACTGCGAAGGCAGGTCTTTCCCCC